AGGGGAGAGCTTACACGTATCTGTTTAATTGCTTCGCTGTTGTGTCTCGTGCGTGCGGCGAAGGAGTTTATTACCATAAACGTCGAATTACAGAGTTTGTTGCGCGTCTGCATTGGCAATAGATCGCGTTGCATCCGAGTTCTTATTGATGATTACACAAAAAAGTTGGAAAAACTGTATTAGTTAAGAAGAGGAAAACGAAAAACCAAGTTCGCTTCGAGCAACAAGAAAATTACGGCCTTTTATGCGTAAACGCGATGAAGGCGCTGACACGTTATACAAGTCTATCTTCTCGTTCGCTCTATAATCGCTTTACAGTGTCGCAGCGAAAGCACATCAAACTATAAACCACAAGTTCACGAGGCACAATGCGCTCTGTCAGTGTGCGAATTGAAGAAAAGGTCTCGTCGGCCCCTTCTCCGCCTCGTCGTCTCACCGCGCGACGTTGGCGTTGTACGTACACACGCGAGTCCTGACCTCACTTCGCTATTCAGAACAGCCCTAATTAGCCGCGGCGAGCTCGCTTGTCCCACTTGATGCAGCTAGCTATAACCTCGCGCAACTACGGATAAAATTCTTCAGCGGCGGTTTACAGAGGCGTCTTATTTGCATCTTTACGGTGTGATTTCATTTTCGATACTGAATTGCTTCGCTAATTACGCTTCCTAGGCGCTCACATATTTTACGAACCCAGGCGTGGACTCGTTTGAAATGTCGTCGAATCTGCGATTATTACCGATCGGAAGTTCGCCTCTAGCCGCGCAGTCGGCTCGATTTTATCTAGCGGAGGAAATTAGCAAAAAGAACGAGTCGAGCGCCATATATGTCGCTCGCTATGCCGCTGACGCAACTCGGAATATCTCGCCGGAAAAACAAGTAGGAACGGTTAAATAGGATAAATAGACTGAGATAGACAAGTACAGGTCGCCACTGTCGAGAAACTTGGTTCTCGAAGCCAAGTCTTTTCATTTCGCTCGATGAAACGAACGCGACGAGCCGTTGTAGCGCGTGCGACCCGATATGAAACTATCAAATAGAACAGAGAGATTCAGGTCAAACGGCAAAAAAAAAAAATTGTCCGTGAGCACACCAGTTATTATTATGGCAATAATTTCGAATAACGTCCCCATCGAGCTTGACTCCCCGTGGCTTTTGCATGGAAGGCTGTGGCCACCGAAAGATCGGGGAGAATAATTTCTTACGGATCCCGATGACTCTTGAGATTCGCTCGCGACGACAGGCGAACAAGAAAAGACGTCCCCGAGCGCGGTATACTCGAGTACGCGAGACGCGTTGGAAGCGGCTCGCCGCCGTCGCACGAGAGAACAATGGCCGAGCCACGCGAGCTTTACGTAAACGAGCTCTCGAGGACTCGATTAACGATAATTATTGCCGGGCACTTCTTCGCTCGCGCCGCCTATTCTCCTGCACTGGCGCGCGCGCGCGTACTCTATCGCCGACGAGGAGGCGCAGCGCGACGCATGAATATTCACGCGCCTGGTGACCGCTCTAAATTCTTATCGGGCTTCGAGGAAAAACGAATAATTTCGAGCGCGATGCTGTCTCTCTCTCTCTCTCTTTCACGCCAAGGTCGACGTCAAGTCGCTTCGCGTACTTTTCGTGGACGCGGTGCTCTTTCTTTTTATTTTTCGCAATCTGCGCCCATTAGACGTCGTTACATTATTGCCATGTCAAAGCTGTAATAACACGCAGAACGAGTATAATGGAGGGAATGTGTAGCGAGCGCGGCGTATAGTCGTGCGGCTTTTTTTTTTTTTTTTTTCTTTTTTTTTAAATTCACATGCTTATGGGACTATTGTGGAAGACGGTGCGCGCTAGCTTTGCGAGATTAATCGTTGCCTTGCTCGCTGGAATGGCTCGTGACGACGAACTGCAAAGCATACGAGAATTAGCGCTGCGATTTTCGCGTTTCGTGCACGTACTTTTCCAAGTGATCGGATACTTTCGATTTTCATTGCTGTACGACTTGCTCTACTTCGACACCCTTTTCATTCGCTGGACTACGTTACTTCGGAGCTGTTTGCAATTTTCTATTTGTCGGAACAAAAACAAATAATATTTGTAACGATAGTAACCGAAGAAAAAAATGTATTTTCCATAGTTGGCTACGGAATACATTCGGAAGACTCGGATAGCTTACACGCTGGTTCTATAACTTGGCGATCTTTTCAAGTTGTTTACAATGACAAAGCACAAAGTAAAATTAACGCTGAGAAGTGAGCCGAGAACTTAGGTATCGATAAACTATGCCTATCGAAGAGTTGCTCAAGATCAAAGAGAAAACGCATCGCTGTCGCAGCGAACGAGGGAGATATTTCCCGCCTTGACGTTCGCTCGTCCGAGGCGTGCCGGCCGCTCGCGACAGGTGGTGCAGGTGACGATAGGCGCGCTGCCGCTAAGTACGTTACGCTGTCGCGCGAGCGCTCGCCGCGCGCGTGCCGTGGCGTTCCAGCCACGCCGCGGGGACTCCCGCGCGACCGTTGCGTTCGCTCGTTTCGCGTACTACCCGTGCGATCGCCTTTACAACGCGGCCTCCTTCTCGGGGCGCGCGAGATGACTCGGCGGCACCGCCGCCGTGCAATCACGGCCGCGCTCCTCCCTCGGGGCCTGCCTCGCGCGAGCCGAGTCGCACGCTCGCGACGCGAATCGGCGAGAAGTTTGGGCGAGCCGCGCGCACGGCCGAGGGCAGCGCGCTGCAGCGTCATCTCTGTCTCCTTCGGTAACGCCCGTAAGCCGCGCGCCTATCGGTGGCTTTTTATCTCCGCGAGGCGCGCAGCGAGGGGACAGACCGACGTGGATAAACAGCACTTCCGGAGTGCGAGAAAAGAGTGGTAATAACGCGGAGAAGGGGGAGAGGAGGCTGGTTGCGCCGGCTAAAAATAATACACACACGCGTGCGCGCGCGCAGAAGGAAAAAAGCGAGAGAGTCACACCTGAGCGCACACGCGCTGCTTCCTCTCATCCGTCGGCCCCCTTCAGCTCCTATTTTGCCTTTTTACACGAAAAACGCGCCAGCCGACCTTTTTATTTTTCGACCCATCCTCTGGTAGTACATTGTCTTTGTTTAGCCTTGAATGCTTTCCGGAGCAGTCCAGATGAAAATTAAACTGGGATCCTAAATTGCCAGGCTTGAATATACTATATATTATTACATTGGGGGGTTACAACCATATGACGGAAAGCTCTCTCTTTTACCTTTTTACACGACCAAATGGTCATGACTATGGTAACAATTCAGATACTAAGCTAACTATTAACTTTTCAGTGGACAATCTCTTAAAACATCAGCAAAATTAAATAAAGACTAAATTTGATCTTTAAATCACACAAATCGATTCAACAACTTATGTTCTGCAAGTTTAAATGCTTGAGAAGTCAATTTTCATTTTCAAATTTTTGTGCTAGTAGTATGCAGTAATGTACGTAAATCCAAATTTTACAAAATATTCAAATAATTCGAAACGCAAAATTGATATTTGATTTTCACTAAACATAAATTACTGCACGTCTATTACCTGCACGTTACACGGCATATGTTTGAAACTATACAATGAAGTATTTGTATGAAGTAACGACGATATTTTATTACTCAATTAAAAGCAATACATTATTGCATGTTATTTATTAGCTTATCTGTCCAAATTTCAGTAGTTTAAATCAATGACTCAGCAGTGCCACACCTAAATTGATTATAGTGATATTTATCATAAAATCTTCGTAGATGATACCTACAACAGACAAGTCGATAAACTTTAGAGTTCAAGATTACTGAAAATTGTTAAGATTAATGAATGTGTTTTATTCTAATGTAAGATTATCAAACTCTTGCATCGAGTTGTAATAGACTGTAGTTAAACTATGAAGTCCATCATTAGGTAAATTTTTAAAGATAACGATTTATGGTCTTTGGTGTTACCAATCATGATGAATATTGTTAGCATCGAAAAGTTAATAGGTACAGTTTTTTGAAAATATTAGCGTTCATTTCTTTCATACTGAAGATTATCTGCAATACAGTTGCCGCTTGCTTCATTAGATAGGTCGAAAAATTATCCGATATCCTGTTATCGTCACTCAAAATGATTACGTTGAATAATTTATCATCTTGGTAAATTTTTTTGTATAAGTACCTAGTTATATGTAAACATCGTGAATCCATTAAAAAGGATACTAAAGAAGACGAGGGTCACAAATAAGTCAAATATGTACAAAATGTCCAGCAAAAGGACAAAACTGCAAACGAATAGTTTTTTTAACCTTCATTTTCTAGAGAATAGATCTTAGCTACAAACAAACAATATATTTGAAATAACAATTTTCTGCAAGCAGCTATATCCCATCAACTTGATTGGACAACTTTCCGAATACGAATCAAGTCGATACTCCATAGTATACATTTTATTCGAAATATAAAACAATTCAGAAAAAAGAACGAAATGAAATTCAAAATAATTCTTCTAACTTATTGCAGAATATTTAGATATTATAATTAATAAAATAGATTTTTTTAAACACGACACAACAGTGCAAAATTTACTTCAAACCACGAATGCCTGTTGGGTAAGGTTTATTATTGATTATTATGCTACGGAATCAAAACAAATAGTTCAAAACCTGGAAAAGAGTTTTCAATAATACTTTAAGTTAATTTTTTGTTTTTCCTGTCGAAATTGTAAGTATAGTTTCAATATTGAACGTCAAACAAATAAAAAATTCAGGTGCGAAGATGAAAAAAAGGTATTGAAGAAACTACCGCCATAATTTGTAACTAAAGAGGTGAGAAAATATTTAATTTACGTGAACACGTTTTATTTTTGCTGTCAGGAAGTAATTAGTTAATATTTCGTTGACTAGTTGTAAACGACTAAAAATAGAACATTTGATAAAGTGTAATTTTCCAATCAACGACTATACTATAGGTATTTCAACTATCAGATCTCCTCTTCATTCGATATAAACCAGTTACTAACCACAACGAATGAAGAGAGCATCAGCAAAATGCTGCTCTCCATGGTGCTTTTGACAACCTTACTTTGCGTCGGTAATGCTGAAAAAAATAGTTTTACGAAAAGTTATCAATTCCCGGAGTCTGAAATCAACACAAACCGACCAAGACGTGATATGACCAAATTAATTTACACCCGTTTCAACGAATCACAGCCGAATAAAACAAATCGATGCATCGTTACTGTGATATCAAGCGCCTTTGACGATTCTCCTGACGTAAGAGCAGAGTGCGAAGTTTCTCTGAAACCCGAAATGCCGGGTGGCACAATTATGCACCATTGCATGGCACACGAATTCGGCAATGAAAAGGTTATCGTTGTCTGGGGAGAGGAACAACACTTGACAACTCCAAATGAGAAGACTAGATCGGTCGTGGTAAAGACGAGCGTGGTCGACATGTCGAATGATTGTGATACTGTCGAGGCCACAAAGAGGAAATACGAAGTGCAAGACAAAAACGTCATCTCAATGTATTGTTTTCGCCCAAGAGTCATCGTATTCGACGATACTTATGAATTATTACTTGTAGACCAGATAAGCATGTGTGAACCTGAATCTACCCATTGCGATTACGTTTTATACAAAGTTGACAACAAAGGTGAAAAAGTAACGGGACCAGAGCAGTGGCCAAATTCACTTTCCAATGGCACATGCTCATTATTTTATAACGTCGCATCTGCCAAACTATCTCCAGGCATACAAGGATATTATATAACCGATACTCATTCGATTGCATTAGCTAGAGGACAAATAACAGTACAATCAAATGGTGAGTATCACAATTATACAGTAAAAGCTATTAAGCTTTAAACTTAGTATTTTCAACACATTCTTTGGAAGAAATATTCAATTGACATATGTTGAATATCATTATTATAAACTATATTTTCATTATGAGAAAATTTTCTCATATGTGACACTTATTATGTGCTTTTCCTTCCAAAGATGGCTATAACCCGCTGATATGGAGCAGATCGTTCAACAAATCACATGAAAGAATTAAATACTCACTGACTGACGTTACTATCGGCTTGTGTGAAACTGTTGGTAATTCAACTTTTGTTTGTCGCCAACTTGATCAAAATGGCCAGATCCTCAGAGAAGCGCAGTTGAAAATTGAACATCCAAACAAACCAGTTATAAACCATGTATACAATTTACGTAATGGCGGACTCTTAGTTTCGGTATGGACCCACTTACGTCAAGAATATCTGGTAGAGATCGGTAATACAGGTATAGCGAAGGCTGTTGAAGTTAACTTCAAGATCGTCTTGCCTTATTTACACATATACGATTCCAGAATTTTCGAAAATAAACTAGGTCAATATTGCATGGCGAAAATGATAACAAAACCTAAAGAGTCGGTAGGAGCTTCGATAAATACTTATATACAGTGCTTCTCTCCCGACGAGTTCTCCACATGCGTAAATAAATTTTTTTGTAACTTGACAGCTGCCTCATTAAGCAGGTAAAATATCTTTAAAAAATATTGTATGCCTAACGATAATTTTGTATGCAATAAACATTTATTTTACAAATAAATTTCATAATTCAACCGATACCATCACTACTTGGTACGACAGTTGTGCCGTTGGTAAAACAGCTGATTCATGTTGTTTAAGCTGGTAACTTGGCATATTTTCTTTTTATCATGTATTAACTTTCTGTGATTACGAGGTGTTTTTACCGAATCTTCCGGAAAGTATATTTTATACAATTACGAATATATGTAGTGTTTCGATTATTGAATGGCTTGTATTAGTAATTACATTCAATCAATACAATAGACAACGGTATATAAAATGTATTAAAAGACAAAGTATAACTTTACATTCCTTAAAATTTGTATATTTTTATTCCAATTTATGTAAAGTTGCAATAGAAAGTCGCCTTTGTAGAGTTTGTGATTTATGATTTTTTGCTCTCAGTAATATAAAGAATATTAGGTTCAGAATTTAATGAAATGCGTTTGCTACTAATCACTTGTAATATAAATGTAATCGAGTTAGAATTTAATGGTTATTCTTAAACGTGGATTATACAATGAAAAAGTCGATGATTTTCAAAGTGACAATAATTCTACTTTTTCTAATTCAATTCTAAAAATGTTAAATGTAGAATAAGTAGAAATCAAGAAACACTCATAATTAGTAGATAAAAATGCTTAATGTTGTTTCAATTTATCATGTGTTAACTTTCTTTTAAATAAGTGTAATGTAATTTACTGATCACAAGAAAATGTTAAAAACAAATGTAAGCACCACTAAATGTATTATACGAATAACAAATACGATGTTAATTTATCCAATATCCGCTATTTGCTTATGAGATACAAACAATTACGAATTGTAATGCTTCCGAGTTTATTCGTATGGCGCGTTTCTTCAATTGTGCAAATTGCATGAAAATTTGGCAAAGTCCACGTCAAGTAGAGGAAACTTTATAAACTATACTTTATTTAATATCTATCTGTTTGACAAATTGTTTATATAAATAGGAGGCAATTTTTGCATGACGATGATTCACTTGAGTACAGAAATTGCAAGTAAATATTGCACTTTAATAATAATAATAATAATACAATATTACATCTTTTTTTTCAAATTACTAGTAAATAAAAATTTCCCACACTTATTACACATTACACACTTCAACAATGCGTAGATGTGAAATTACTTAATAGAACACAAAATTATTTAAATATTTTCAAATAAATATCATATTTTGTTTTACTACTCCGTAATGTCGATTTTTTTTGGAAAGACTTCAATAATTGATGCAGTTATTTGAAAATTATTAAAAAAATTACTAAGTTAATTTGGTGACATAGTGAGCTTGTAGTAAATTAATAGGTTTATTATAGTTTCACTGTCTACTCGTAAACAGATAGAAATAGTGCATTTTTAATAAGTGGAATTCTCTCAATCAACTGCTAAATGTATATATAACGTAACTATCAGAACTTAGTAATGTCAGTTATGTCTCAGATCACGCGAAAATAGCTTCAGTAAAATGCTGTTATCTGCAGTAATTTTAATAACATTCCTCAGCATCAGCAGTGCTAAATTTACTGGTTTCACAAAACTGTATCCATTATCAGAGACCGATTACGTGAGCTACGGAACAGGGCATATTACCAAAGTGATTTATACTAATCATAATGTATCGCAGCCAAATACAATAATACGATGCCTCGTTACCATGATATCCTGTGCTTTTGACGAAACTTCTGGTTTAACAGTAGTGTGAAATTTTTTTGAAACCCAAGATGCCAGACAGTGTGGTCATGGATTTTTGCGAATCCCACAAATTCGGTAGCGACAGGCTATTATCGTTTGGGGTAAGGAACAAAATTTGACCGATTCACTATAATCAGACTAGATCCGTTAACGTAAAGACAAGCGTGATCGACATGATGAAAAACTGTCACACGGTTGAGGCAACAAAGAAGAAATATGAAGTTCAGCATAAAAATTTCGTTTCACTGTATTATTTTCGTCCAAAGGTAATCATCTTCGACGAGAATTACGAACTGTTACTTGTAGATAAGATAAGTATATGTAAATCTAATCCCACACACTGTGACTACGTTTTATATAAATTTGATTATAAAAATAGCAAACTAACTAGGCCGGAATTGTGGTTAAATTTACTTTCTAATGGTACATATTCATGTTGGTACAGCGTTGAATCTGCTAAACTATCTCAAGGCACACAAGGATATTACATAACTGATAGTTATAAGATAACCCTGGCTAGAAAAAAATCTAATGGTAAATTCGTTTCAAAATCATTAGACAACATTATTGGTAGTATAAAAGTCTTTTTCTTAAATATATTTTCTGATAGCGGAGTAACTAATTCGGAAAAGATTCAAGATGATTACTCCGCTGTTGCTCCAAAGAAAAAAATTTTCTGGCGTGGCAGTGTTCAAGTTTTTTTTTCAAGTCATCAGCCAGTGAATACAAATATTCACTGACTAATAACGTTAGTTTGTGCGAATCTCTTGAAAATTCAACCTTTGCCTGTTGGCAATTTGATCAAGAAGGAAAAAACGAAATTAACACTCCATTTGCACCTTAATTTTTTACTCTAGTATATAATTTACTATATATGTATTTAATTTAATCGCTATAAATAACGGAAAAGAAATTTAAATGTATCAAATACAAATAAATATCTTATATACTTTAGTATAATAATGACATTGTTAGTGTAATAAAGTTATAATATTCAGAAAATTATGACTGCATATTTATTAGGCATTATCCTTCTCTTTTGTGAATTTCTAAATATTGTCAGATTTTCTACCCGAGGAAAACTATTTCATCTAAAGCGATAATAATTATTTGATTTGAAAGCTTTTATTAAATGAAAATTTCATTTTTTCAACGAACACTTCTGTATGATCAACGTTATGAATATAAAAACTTTAAATATAAAACCTATATGTTTTTCTTTTCACTCATCCTTCTTATGTTACTGAAAATCTATTTATTCATAATTTTTAAATAACAATCGTAAAAGCTGAATAGCTCCAACTTGAATCTTTCTATAATTTCATGTTTTGATGCAGAGGTATTGGAACAAGCGATATTATTTATTAAGATAATTCAACTCAAGAGCTTTTATTTGTAAACTATGATCAATCAATGTCAAATTTTCAATATGACTAACGCAACTTGTAGCAGGAAATATTTACTTAGACTTTCACCAATAAGTAAGATATGGAAGAGGCAATGATTATCACGGTGAAGAAACGTTGCTAATTCAGATTACGCTACATCAACCGCCTGAAGAACGACTGTAATAGATATGCAAGAAAATTGCTCTATGATCCATGCAATAGAAAGGAAATATGAATTAATTGTTTCCTCTAAATTTTATCATATTTCACAATATTTACTAAGTAATACTGTGCAAACAATAAATAAATGTAAATCTGGCCGAAATTCATTCAAAAAATTAAATTATCGATTAAAAAATGGTTTTCCTCCCATCAATGAGAAATATTACTTGAAAATATTTTAATTGTAAAATTTGATTTATCAATCAAAAATACATATATACAATCGTATCGATATTTCATTATACATAGGAGAAAAATGAATTACACTTAAGTATTTTATTCTCACACAAAATCAGTGTCCACGGTCACGTTCTGATTTATCGAAGAAGCTTAATGCGAATTTAACTGGATATAGTCGTGTCAACGCATTACATGCAGTCACACACGTCACGTCATACAATTTACCAATCAATCGCGCCTATTCTAACTAAATGCTCATACGTAGTGGTGTCAGTTACGACTTGAACCGCGTCAGTAAAGCACATCTCGACACATGATGTTGTCGGCTCTCGCTATAATTTTAAGTGTACTACAGTTATGTAGTGCCGAAACTAGCACGATTGCAAAAAGTTACAAGTTCCCGGAGACACAGATTTTAACGAACAATTTGTGGCACGATACTGCGAAATTGGTATACGCTCGTTGCAACGCGACGGAGCCAGAGTCAGGTAAGCGATGTATTGTCGGATTGAATCTCGATGCCAGCAACAATTTTACGGAACTGACGGACGAATGTAAAATAACTCTCAAACCTGAGATGCCGAACGCACAGATAAGTAATGTGTTTTGGGTGTACGGATTTGGAAAGGACAAGGCTATTCTGGTTTGGCTAGAGACGCTGAAAGATTCAAGTTCGCGAAATGATTCTGGATCTTTAACGCTAAAAACAAGTGTGATTCATATACTTGATAATTGCCAGGTCTTCGATGCCAAGGTGCACGAGTACGCAGAGCAGCAAATTGATTTCAGTTGTTTGAACCTGAATGTTATTATATTCAATGATTACTACGAATTCACTCTCAAAAACGTAACTAACAACTGTACACCTGGGTCTGAATGCCCTATAGAATATGGTATTTTTAAGTTTGATGCAAAGGCTAAGAAACTGTCTGGTCCTGATCATTGGCCTACTCCACTTTTCAATAATGAAACTGCTGTCAGTATTGTAATGCCAGTTGAACCTCGAAGCCCCTCAAATGGCTATTTTATTGTCAATCATGATTATTTCAAATTAGTTACTTATCTCGTCACTAAGGATTCAAATGGTGAGTATAAATTATGGTTGTGCTTTCGATTTTTCACTGAAACAATTTTTTAATCTATCGTTCAAATAATCTTTTATCAAAGATTACAAAAAAAAGATGCTGTGGGAATCGCCATACGTTGATTCCGATTGGTTTAGTGTCTTCTCAATGGCCAACAAAGCAATGGGTTGGTGTTACAACGTCGTCAAAACAAATTCGAGCTTCTCTTGCTGTCGCTGGGATCAAGCAGGTGTGATCAACATGAAAACGCAGTTCGAAATCGAATTACCAAACAAAAGATATCTCCAAGCTGTTCATAATCTGCAACAAGGTGAACTTCTAGTAATGACATCAACTTCACCGATGTGTGGTTGTCCCGATGTCGACGACGAGCGTTTCTTCATGATGAAAGTTACTGAAAAAGGTCCAGTAGGCTCACTGGAGTTCAAATTAGAACCGAGATGCACTACTGATAAAAGTGATATCATTTTAAAATTGTTCGAGAATGATAAAGGTCAATACTGTGTTATTCAAATTTGTGAGAGTAAATTCCAGCACCCTACTCGTCTTAATACTCTTGTACGATGTTTCTCCAGTGACGAGTTGTCGAAATGTATGAACTGCTTGTAAAATGAAATAAAATCTCGCTTAGCCATATACAATACTCTTATACGAATCTGCGTTATCTGTGTTTCGATAAACAATATCTCGAAATTTGTATCTTTCAAAGTATAGAAATAAATACATATTTTCGTATGTGTCACGCCGTAATAAACTCTATCAATTTCGTTCCAGCTTTCATGAATTTGATTATAAATGCCATTGTCAACGTTATCTAACCTCGTATATTTCAATTGAGGCAAGCGCGCTAAGTATCATTGCCACTTCATTTGCGAACTACTACATGCACATGTTCCAACTCTTCAAAAGGCAATCAAGTAATCAACCTGCATCTAAAAGTAACACCGACACAGCTTGTGGTCAGTTGCGAATGGAATTGCGCGTGGACAGCAGCAACATGCTATCGACTCTTGCAATTGTGATAGTCTTTTTACATCTCGCTAACGCTCAAATCTTGTCAAGAACATTCAATTTTACGGAAAGTCAATTGATCAAAAATCATCCGTGGCATGATAATACAAAGTTACTTTACGCTCGATGCAATTCGTCGCAGCCACAATTAGGTAAAAAATGTATCATTTCTGTAACAGCCGAAGCTTTTGAAAATTCCACAATCGTTTCGAGTGAGTGTACTGTGACACTTAAGTCTGAGATACCAAAAACACTTGTGAATGACAGTCTACTAGTTTTTAAATTTGGCAGTGATAGGGTTATTATTATGTGGATGGAATCGCAAAATACGACGAGCAATGGTTTGTCAATTTTAAAGACAAGCGTTGTCCACATGGCTGATCAATGCCAAATTTTCGGGACGACGGTGCATAGTTATTTGGGACAGTTCACTGTTGAAATGGCTTACCAAAAGTATTTCAACATCATTGCTTCACAAGATACGTATGAGCTAGTACTTAAGGATGTGGTGAACGACTGTAAATTTAGAGCCAATTGTACTTTTGGTGATGGCATTGTTAAGTTTGACAAGAAAGCTCGGAAATTATCTGGTCCGGAGCATTGGCCTACTCCAATATACAATGACAAATGGGATATTGACATCATCGTAGCGGTTGAACCAGGACACTCTGAGAATGGTTATTTTGTTTTTAATCGCAACGATAAACAATCGATTGCATATCTCGCGACCAGAGAGAAAGATGGTGAGTATTGTTTAAAAGTTTTGTCTAATTTCTCTCACTCGTCAAATTCAAAGTATACTTTTATTTTACATTTGGTTCATAAAACGTAACAAATAAGTATGAAATACATATCGCCTTATCAACAGATTACAAGAAGCTGATTTTAAAAGAAACACCATTCACAAGATCCAATTGGTTCAGTGGGATTTCGTTAGCCAACCAAGCTATTGGCATTTGCTATCACTTCAGTTCAAACTCAAGCATCACATGCTGGCAGTTCAATCAGAGAGGTCAACTTTTATTGTATAAATTACTGATACCTAAACGTCAACATGATGTTCCTGTAGCAGCTGTCTACAATATAAAAAATGGCGGATTCCTTCTGGTCGTCGTTGACTGCCCAAAGAACGATTGCGATGGATCCAAAAACGACAACCATTTTATTAAAATAGGTAAAGAACGTCAGGTTGATGTGGTAAAGATTCGGTTCGATGCCAAATGTAATCAACAAGAAAATAGTCAGATGACATTCAGAGCATTCGAAAATAAAAAGAGTCAGTATTGCATTGCTAGATTATGCGATAGTAAAATTCATAATTCGGTAAGGTTAGATGCAAAGGTCCATTGTTTTTCGAGTAGCGCGTTTTCGAAATGTAACGATTGTATATAAAAAAATTTGTATAAATGACAAAATTGCCATCCACAATTGATTGTGTGCCATAAATAGGAGAACAACGAACATTTTTATAATAAAAAAAAGGTAGAAAACGACTGCTTGCATATACATGATTCGTTCATCCTGCAACTCTTTTAAAGCAATTACATTCTCGCTACAAAAGTCCAAGAAAGAGCCGAGAAAGAAATAAAGAAAGAAAAAAAAGGAGTACACATTACTCCACAAGTAGCGAGTCTTACGCAGATGCTGCACACAGAGGAATCCGCACAATGCAGGCCCAGGATCCCACGCGAGTGCACGCGGCTTTATAATCAGCTGCAAAAGTGCGCAACTAGCCGGTCACGCATATAATACTTGCGCTGTCGCAACAGCAACAGAGAAGCATCCGTGAGAGAAAGAGATTATATTCTCCCTCTGTATAAGGGCAACAACAAGAGGAGAAAAATGTCGCGGTGCAACTCGCTGCACGCGACCTGATTCATATACATACCAGTATAAAAATCAAGGACGCCTGTAGGTGATTAATGATACCCGGAGGTCCTCTAAAATCGTAGAGTGAACGTTACATTCCATAAATTCTGCGCAAGCAGTTGAAGAGAACGAAAAACATGACGGCAGGGAGAGTGGAAAAAGTGTAATAAGTGCGCTCATGCTAAACGGAGCGTCGCATCTTCTTTCCAGTAACGATTAATTTTTCAGTGAAGCTCGGGATTCTAAGTGGACCGGTAAATTCGTAATGTTTCTCGTAATTTTTCTCGACTTCACGTGGATTATAGAACCGTCGAGTATTGAGGTAGTAAAGGTACTTATTGTAAAACGTTTTCAAAGCTTATCCAAAATTCCATGAAGCTTCAATTGGATATTGACTATTCGAGTAGTCAAATAACTAACGGAAAAGCAATATTTGAAAAAGTCAAAAGGTACGTAAAGAAGAAAAGTCAATTACTCTCTAGGAAATCACACGAAGAAAATATGATGTTGAAAAAATGTTGAAACACAAAGAAAACCACGCTAATCTCCTTACTTTTTCTAATCACCTGGCGAAAGCATCAATTATGCGTACGCGCATCCAAGTCCAAAGCCAGCAGAAAAGAGAATTTAGAATTTCGAGTACTTACAAAATTCGAAAGTCATCGCGCGTGACGCGAAATCCCAGCATGCGCGCGCGAGAGAGGCAAAAAAAAGTCGGTCGGAAGAGGATGTCGGGCGTTTCCTGCGGTTGGTCCTACACGCTCGCGCCGCGGGATTCCATTGCTCTACATTGTCGCTTCGTTATGCGCACGAAAATTTTCAAGTTGACAAAGGATTCTCCGAGTATAATCTCGCGTGCGCCCGCGTTGCACATGTGGAAGATATAACGGGAGATGATTGCGCGAGATGAAGGTTCCGTATGGAACGTTTTGCATTACGGAAAATTAGATGATTGCTCGTGATCATCATATCTGCTAGATTATTCATTCGATGATGACCGAGAGAGAAAGAGAGGAATACTTTGGGTTTACTCGAACGATTCAACTCAGTTTAAAAATGAAAAAAAAAGTAATATCGAAAAATTAATTATCGTCACGACACGATACCTATTTTTGAATTGGTATAGAATTCAAAGAGTATTGCGCACAAGAGAGAAAAGCATTGTGACCTCTTTCAGGCTATTTGGAAAATACTAATCATCATCGAAATTACAGAACCAGAGCTTATATAGAAAAAGGGGACTTTGTTGTTTTGAGTAAAGTATACTCTAAGGAGGGAAACTGGCTAGCGAGAGAAGTACACTCGCATACATACAGATGGCTCCGGAGCCGAGACGCGCATACGCGCCAGCATACTTCCAACGGTCGCGATACATGTACAGTATCGTAATAGTAGATTGTACGGAGTAATCGATAAGAGTAAAATCTTACGTACGTCAAGGATCAGTGCAAATTAAATCTGAGACGATATTAATCAGAAGCGGCAACCATGCTCGTGTATTTATCGAGGAAGAAAAGAATTTGGAAAATATCGAATCAGACTCGCTGGTTGGCAAAATCCTCGAACGCATATAAGCTGAATCGCAATTTTAAATTACTGCCAAACGAATCTCATAACTAAAACATGTACGTATACGTAAATCGGCACACCACTCGTAATGTCATTTTCATCTCTAGAACTTTATATTTTACCTGCCGAGTATTTATCCGCGAAAACGTAGAAAGCCAAATTATTACATGCCGTTGTGTAGGTATGGATGTTTCGTGCAACTTTAACGCCGCTTGGCATTAACGCGACATTGTTCTTCAGTTCCCTGCGCCTGAAAATGTTGTCGATCGACCAATCCAGTTGAAAAGTTTCGTCCGAATCCGTGGTCAATCCATATCTTGGATTATCGCTTAACCTTTGCTCTCTCCTCTTTCGCGTAACGCATTCAACTCTTCAAATTTTCTTCCGGCGTTCCTGCGCCAACTCGCTCCAAAACTCGCTCGTTCTCGCGATGCGCTACAAATTACTATCGTACATCGTATTTACATTTGAAGTACAGACGTGTAGGTCTTTTTTATAAATTTGAGCGTTGATCGCCTCGCACTCCTCTCAACCGTTACCATTCGTGGTATTGAACTACTTCGCGCGAATACTTTACGAACCAGACGAAAGGCAATATTCCCCAAATCTCATGAAAATAAATAGGGGTGCCGCCCTTCGCAACTATTTTTTTTCGACGAGCGGACCTGTTCGGAAGCGCGAGTACACTGCAGCCGCGGGACATGCCAAGATGGATCGTTCGAAATGCAGCCGAAGATCGGTGGCGCGCGCGAAGCAAAAGCGAGGGACAATTAAGTGAGCGCGGCGCACAGGGCGGCCGGGCCGCGGCAGCGCGAGACGGAGAAGAAGGCAATTCCGTTTAATCGAAGGAGGATGTGGAGTCGGTTAAACCGAAGTCCCAAGTAAGTTTCGTTCGGCGGACGGAGTGCGCAGCGGCGGTGACGGCGGCGGCGGCGGCGGCGGCGGCGTCAGCTGCCCGGATGTCCCTAACGTTGTATACGTACGTGCTCGTGTTGCAGTGCCGAGCGAGGAGCAACCATGTGAGACTCAGGTGGACCCCTCGCACGTGTGTGCAACGTCAACGGCGCGCTCGGACAGAGAGAGTATGCGCGTAGAGGTGACTTTCTCGTCCGAGGGCTCTCTTTGTTCTTTCGACTGACTCTTCCGTTTTTCTTTCTTTTTCAGCTGCGATGTTTAGGATCGAGTAGTCTTATTCATTCTCTCTCTCTCTCTCTCTCTCTCTCTCTCTAAGTGCTTTGAATATTCAGGTAGAAGGAGACATTAGGTTTCCGGCTAGTTTGCATAATTCGCCGATTCAAACCGAGAATGTAATCTCGCGCTCGTCTTTTTCCTTTTGGTTCTCGATTGTCCGAGATTCGCGCGCGTCGGTTAATCAACGCTCGAAATATAAATTTTTCATAAACGAACGATAGGAGGAGAGAGAGAGAGAGACAAGTGCGCAACGCAGGCTCTCACGCGGCGAGATAATCGCGCCGAGATTATCCGTAAACATTAACATCGCGCCCTCGTTCCGCGCGCGGAGCGCCTATCACTTCTGCTTCTATAGCCTCATCTCATTGTCTCGTCGCGCGCCTGATTCCCTCGCATCCGGATGAGCTCGAGAGCTCTGTGTATATATATATAAGATGAAGCGCCGACCATTTTATACGCGCTCTCTAGATGAGCTTATCGTCTTTTATAATTAGCCGGTTGCGTGGAAAAGTGCACCTCCTGTTTTTGCGATGAACATATATATATGGCGCGCAGCGTCCGCGAAGGAGGGCGCGGCCGCGTCCGCCGACGGTTAATTCGCCTTTTCCATCGCGCTCGACTTACCACCGAGGCGTCGTACGGCGAAAGACACCTCGCGCGGGAGAGGACGATCGAGACCCGCGGAAGTCTCGGAGGCGACGTTGGCGCGATCGAAGCGCAGCCTTCGCTCCCCAGCTGGAATCCCAAAGGCCTCTCTGTATTTGCCCGCAGCGATCATCCTCGCTCAGCGCCTCCTCCTCCTCCTCCTGCCTCCTTTCGAGCAAGCGCAATCGGATTAACCTTGCGCAAGGTCAGATATCGAGTGTCCCAACGAGCTGGCGAGAGAGAGAGAGAGTGAGAACAAGAACAAAAGAAAGTCAGGTTTGCGCGAATGAAGATTTTCGATGTGTAAGCAACTTACATTGCGCTATATATAATATACTTGGCTCAGCGGATCAGCACGATCACTATACAACAACGACAATGACGAAGGTGACGGTGGGGGAAAAATCATCGTATTTCAACTTGCACGTTGGCTCTCTCTCTCTCTCTCTCTCTCTCTCTCTCTCTCTCTCTCTCTCTCTCTCTCTCTCTCTCTCTCTCTCTCCTTGTTCTTGGAACTGATCGTCGGTGAGTGGATTTCTGTCGATCAATAGAAGGGACAACAACATTCAGGAATGTAAGTTTGCGAAAATCACCGCTCGTACCGTTTGCAGATGAGGATCTTGTCGACGGACATTCGTAGCCGGAAAAGATGAAATCTTTCGCGCTTCCGCCGAAGAGGACATTTTTGCGGAGCACAATACATTCCGCATCGTGCCGGGAAAACGCGCTGCGCCGAAGAGCGGTAGATCGGCGCGGAATGAGCGAGAGAGAGAGAGAGAGGCCGCGCGTACCGCACGCGGCCAAATGGCGGCCACGAGCGAGCGAGACGCGCGCGGCTGGCGCGAACGCGGACGAGATTTAGCCGCGAATGGGCGCGGCTCCGCTCTGTGGGATTTGACGAGCGACCCCCGCGCCAACTCGTTAGGACAGCGATTCGGCTTGGGCGAAAATCGACGTGGCGAGCGCTACTCTCGAGCACGTGAATTATTGATCATTCGTTCATCGCGTTGCAATTAGAATCCGAATGGCCGAGAAAGAAGGGGGGAGAGAGAGAGAGAGAGAGCAAAATCAATAATTCACTATCTATACCATCATTTGCATCCATAAATGAATACAAAACAGTAATGAAAGACAAAGGAGAGGAGAAAAATAGCAAAGAGGAGCGCTCGCGAGTTCAACGATCTCGGATGCGACGATGACGCGACGTGCACACGTATGC